TTAATCTTAAAAGTTGGTGAAGGATGCAGATTTCCCACATGCTTTATAATTATTTACTGCTGATCAGAGGCATAGACCTTGCTTGTCTCTGGGTTCAGAAAACTCTCCCTCTCTCATCTAAAGGATCCATATGACAAGCTAGAGAATTTCTGGCCCATGCCAATGGCCATGTCGCTCTTTATATGGTTCTTACTAGCTTGAGAAGTAGTTGGACTCTGAAACAGACAAGTTTCTTTTTTTCTTTTTTTTAAATCAATAACCATGAGTAAAATTGGAAAGAAACGAGTTCCAAGTAGAGTGCTCTTTAAGAAGGGAAGACTAAATTTTGTTATTTCCAAAACCCTTAATGTTGATAAATAACCCTTGTTCATTTTGTAAAACTGCCTAGTCTGAGTGTGAAGTGAACATATTACCATTAGACTAGAGGTGACATCTTCCATTAATCACTGCACAGGCTGTAGTAAACCACTCAAAGACCTCAAATACCTTTTCAAATGGCAAAAAAGATAAGCATAGCCTTTGCTTTTGTCACATCAGTGCTGCTGCGCTTTAAGACAGACTTGTTTACTTGCCTCTTGTCTTGATACAGTAATGACAAAGACAGCAGCAGACCGGGGCTAGGCAGTGGGGCCTGAGTGCTGTCAAGGAACTCATGCTTGTTTGCAAATACAGAATTTGATATCGCATTTTTATTTCTCTTTCTTTTGTATAAATCTGGCATAGCATATTCAAAAAATATTGAATTGTTTGATAGCAGAACAATTCAATCCACCAAGCCTAATTTTTAAAATAAATTCATAGTTATGATGAGTAGTTGTTTCTCATTATAGGAAACTTGAAAAATCCAGAAAAGCAATAAAACTATTAATATCACAGATCCTGAGATAGAAATTTGTGACAATCTATTTTCCTCATGTGTTTATGTATTTGTTTTTCTTCAAGAACATTTATAACCATTTTGCCTCCTACTTTTTGTTTATGTGATATTGCTTCCATAATTTTAGAAATACGTTCTGCATAGAATTTGAAAAATGCAACTAATTTGGAACAGATATTAGTATAGTGTTTAGGACACCATATTTGAGTGCTTGGTTTCAAGTGCTAGCTGTTTCCCAGCTGCCTCCTAGTCTACACTTGGGAGGCTTGAGGCAGTGGCTCAAGTAGTTGTGTCTCTGCCACCTACGTCAGAGACCTGAATTGAGTTCCTAACTTGACGTTGGCGTACTGAAACTCAGATTGCTGCAAGTACTTGAGAAGTGAACCAGCCATTTATTAGAAGTCTGTCTCTCTTTCTGCCTTTGAAACAAAAATAAAATTTAAAAATAAAACCGATAAGAAACATATCATACACCATTTAGAAATATAGATATAATGCTGATACTGGCATTTTTGTATATATGCTGGGCATAGTATTAAATACTTCACTATTTTTATATTATGCAGTTTTCAAAACAAATATGCTTATTTTTAGAACTCAGTAGAAAAGTATTTTTTTTGACATTTTTCAAAACTTGCTTCTTATACTATCTTTTTTGTTTAAGATTTTATTTATGTTTATTGGAAAGTCAGACATACAGAGAGGAGGAGGAGACAGAGAGGAAGATCTTCTGTCCACTGATTCACTGCCCAAGTGGCTGCAACAGCCGGAGTTGAACCAATCTGAAGCCAGGAGCCAGCCAATCTGAAGCCAGGAGCCAGGAGAATCTGTTATGTCTCCCATGTGGGTGCAGGGTCCCAAGACTTTGGGCCATCCTCGACTGCTTTCCCAGGCCACAGGCAGGGAGCTGGGTTGGAAGCAGGGATGCTGGGATTAGAACCAGTGCCCACATGGGATCCCAGTGTATTCAAGGCGAGGACTTTAGCCACTATGCTACTGTGCCAAGCCCCACACTATCTTTTCATAGTACTTCTAACTAGGAACTTTTTAAACAATTATATCATTATGCTTATTTTTTATGGATTCACTTTCAAGCTTCACGTACTGCTCTCTACCTTGAGTGTGGCGACCTCACAGAGATGGGACAGTCTTGCCCCACTGGAACTCATTGCTGTGCAATAAAAAGAAGTTTCTCATCTTCTTAGTCCAGATACAAGAGCCAGGTGCTTTTATATCATAAATATGTTCTATATCACACTACAGATATGTTCCATACATATCAATATGTTCTATATAAAGGACAAGTAAAAGGTGAGAAAAGAATCTTCCAGTTGGTAGATTATAAAAAGATACTAATTGATGATTTAATTTAGAACTTAATTTATTAGCTATTATAAAAAATACCCTTGCTAAACATATTTCCTTTTTTCTTTAAGATTTTTAAAGATTTATTTAGTTATTTGAAAGGCAGAGTGAAAGAGAGAAAATGACTCGGAACAATCCTCCATCTGCTGGTTTGCTCTCCAGTGACCCCCATTGCCCCATGGGCCAGGTGAAAATTAGGTGCCAGGAGTTCCTTGTAGGTCTCCCACATGGGTGCAGGAGCCCAACTTGGGCCATGTTCTGCTGCTTTTGCAGGTGCGTTAGCAAGGAACTGTACCGAAAGCAGAATAGTGAGATCACAAATTGGCGGTCTTACTGCAGATAGTGGCTTAAGATGCTGTACCATAATACCAGCTGCTTGCTAACTATATATTTCAAAGCAACTGTAGTTGATAGTGTATTAAACCTTAAAGATTAGAAACATTATGCATGGTGAACAATTTCTACACTGGTAAGAACATTTAAGCAATTCTCCAACTGATAAAAAACGGAAATTTTAGAGTAAACTTTAAATATCCTAAAAAGCACAGAACTATTTTCATATATTTTAAAGGTCTTTTCCCTTATTACTACAGTTTTAAAATTTGGGCAAATTTCTAGGAAATATGCTAATGGGAACTCTATTGTTTAGTATTCTCCTTATGGTTGTTTAGATCATAATGTAACAGCACAGTATGTTATGATTCCACACACGTTGATAAAATATTTATGTTTCCATTTTCATTTCTTTTACGTGAAAGCAGATATTTGCATCCACATAACAGAATACGTTCTAGATGTTATATGTTTAGTGAGTACAGAAACAGTGCAACCTTCAGTGTCGTAGTGGTGGAAAATTTTAGTTCCCATGGGCATGTTCCAAACTCAAGTAGGACAAGTTGATGTGTTTATTCTGTATTATAAACACTTGTCCTTTTCTAGATCTACTTACTGCCATATCTTTTGAACTTCTGTGCTTGCTATGCTGATTTTGCTGCTTACAATGTCTCTCAGAAATAACATAAATATTCCTAAGTCCAGGAGACTGTGACGTATGCACCTGAGGAGAAAATGTGTGTGTCAGAACAGCGTGCTTCATGTGGAAGTTATGGTGCTGTTGGTCCGCTAGCATGATGTGCAGAGCAAGCCAGAGAATGAACATAGCTCTCTGGAGCTAGGCAGGAAATCCAGAGGAGCTGGTGAAGGACCTTGCTGACCATTTAAAGGATTTTGGGTCCTTTTGTTAAGCCACTAGGGGATCTCTGTCTTTCTCTCTCTCTCTCAACTCTGCCTTTCAAATATATATATTTGTATTATATATATAATATTTGTATATATTTGCATAATATTTATGTATCAAAGCAGTGGAAATTGTGGAATTGTTTGCAGCAGGGAAAATAATATTAAGGGTTTTGCAAAAGGCCATTTTTTGACTATAGTGAAGAGAGTGGATTAAATAAGATAAGCCCTTGTATTCCCAGCCTCACCGCCATGGCAGCAGACACAGGCCCTTATATGACAGGATATGCGCTCAGTGTTCTTTGTCTTTACAGCATTTGCAGGGAGGAAAGCACTTGGTTGACTAACCTATATCATGTAAATAGCCCAGTTCGTGCGTTAGGTAAAATGACTTATTTTTTAAAAAGTGCCTGGCACATACAACCTCCATTAGTATTTGGTTATGCTCATGCTGTGTTCTTTAAAACTGTATTGAATTGAAGAAATAAAAAGGTGCTAATTAATAAAACATGAAAAGGTATATAGATAAAACCTATCTCCATTTTACCCCTGACCTCTTTCCGCAAATTTCTTACCTATTCTGGGAGCTTAATGATCTGTGATATTGTCTTAAATCATGAAATGCCCCATTGTATTATAGTGTCATTCACTGTACAGTAGAGGTAGAGGGATAAGTTGTACTAGAATCAAGAGACTCCATAGCTCCATTGTAAAGGAGCAAAGCACCTCTTTCTATTTATGAAACATAGAGCCATTTACTCTCTATTTTTGCTTCTGTAGAAAGTAGAGTTTCAGGATGTTGGGGTGCAGGAGTAAGAAGCAGTGTAGGTTGGAAGTCAGCTGATTCCACTATTGAAGATACGGATTTTATTCACTGTCTCCTTGCCAAAGGTCACTTGTCATATCCCAGTGTTATGAGAAAGGAGGGAATGTCTTAAGATCAGACATTTTCTGGGAAATTAACATGGATGTTTTCTAATCCTTTGACCCCTGCTATTTGTGTTTCTGACCTACGCCTTCCATACAGCACAGTAACTGGTGACTTGGTATTGATCCAGTATTGTTATGAATGTTAAATGCTTTTCAGTATTGATTTCAAGCAAGTTAGAAATACTTGGAATTAGTATTCTCCTATGTAAATACTTATCATCTAGAGTACTGTGGACTGTGAGGTGTCTAGGTACCCCAGCTGTGGCAGGTGTTCTGAGGGGGAAGGCAGATGGAAGGTATTTCTCTCTCTCCTTCTCTCCTTGTCACAATTAAATAAATCTTTTATAAAAGAAATGAGAGTAACAGTGAGTAACAGTTGGGTTTGTCCTTAGGAGTTCAAGAGAGAATATTTGAGTACTTTGAATTTATGGTACAAAAACAGTGTGAAAATGACATGTATCAGTTCATTTATTTATAAATCATAACTTTTCTTTTAAAATCAGTTGGTGCTTTTTCCATGAACTTTCTGTTCATGGGTAGAATGAGTTTGAAAGGAATTGCCGAATCTCCACCAATCTCTTGCATTTTGCAGGGTGATTGAACAGCTCGGTGGGAAACAGCTGGTAATGAATCACATGCATCATGAAGACCAGCAGGTCCGCTACAACGCTCTGCTGGCTGTGCAGAAGCTCATGGTGCACAACTGGTACGTCACTTTCTCTACTCACAGCTTTTTGTTCATACCCTTGCATTGTTCTTCAGGCTCCTGTTTGCCCATTTGAAGAGCTTTTATGTGAAGTTGGCCCATGAGTGAGCATTTTTAAAGTTGATCATTTTGATTATAAATTAGGAAATGTATCTTAGTAATTCAGAGCAACAATGGAGGACTTTTAAGGAGTTGAAACTGTAAAAAAAAGAGAAAGAGATGAACTGTACCAATGATCTCACAAAATGTTTGTTCAAAGAAGTGTTGTCAAAAACAACTCCAGGGCCCGGCGCAGTGGCACAAGTGGTTAAAGGTCCTCTCCTTGCACGCCCGGGATCCCATATGGGCACCGGTTCTAATCCCAGCAGCCCCGCTTCCCATCCAGCTCCTTGCCTGTGGCCCAGGAAAGCAGTCAAGGATGGCCCATGGCTTTGGGAACCTGCACCCGCGTGGGAGACCCGGAAGAGGCTCCTGGCTTCGGATTGGCATAGCATCGGCCGTTGCGCTCACTTGGGGAGTGAATCATCGGACGGAAGATCTTCCTCTCTGTCTCTCCTCTCTGTATATCCGCCTTTCCAATAAAAATAAAATAAATCTTTAAAAAATAACAACAACAACAACAAAAAACAACTCCAGAGGTGATGGAAAGACCCTTGTGGCATAAATGAACCTGTCTTCTCTGGAATTGAAGTAATACAGTTATCCTGCTAAGTCTTGTACAATTTTGTAAGTTTTGACTGTTGAGCATATAGTAAACCTGAATGGGTTTTGCAAGTTCACATAAAAACACTAAAAGCTGGTTGATTGAATCTCACATTTCACTTATAATTTTTTTTTTTTCCTTTTGAAGCAAAGTCATGCTTTTCAAGATGACTGATCCTTTCTGTAACATCAAAAGCAACTGCTCAGACATAGTCATGAGCCAGCTATTTATGTGCAAAACTGACAAGGGTTTCCTTTGTCGTGGCTGGCTGTAGCTGTGGGCTGGCTCTGCATCACTTTCAGCACTCTTGTGGCTGAAAGTTCAGGTGGTTTTCAGTTCTCCACTTCACAGAAAGATGCTCTGAAGTGCTTCCCTAGAAAAGAATCCATAGTGCATTGGAAGGTGTACATTTGAAGATGCAAGCCAGTGCAGGGTAGGGAAGTTCCCAGGAGTGCTACTGTGATATCATGTATTAAAAGTTATGATTTTGTCACTTCTCTCATAAATACTGATATTTATGCCTTCTTATGACAGCTGCTTCTTGAACATTTTGCTTTGTACCATGTTAGGTTAATTGGTGGGCTATAGATATGATGGAAATAAATGCAACTTTTTGTGTAGGATGGATAGAGCACAACACTTAAGCAGAGATAATAATGATAAAGTAGCAGCAATAAACTGTTTTTTGGCCCAATGAGCATTTCAGGAAGAGTAGATAAGAGGAGGAAAATGCCATGAAGTTAAGGAGGAGCTTGGCTTGCTTAAAGCATCATATGGAGGCCACTGAGTTGTAATAGTTGTAATAGCTGTTGCTGTTGTCAGCTGATGAGTTGGGCTTCCAGGCATGCGGGTAAACACCATACATTGGCTGTCTGTCCCCTACATGAGACTGTTCTCTTTTTCCTTTGTGTCAGGGGTCAGGATGGGAAATTGTCATTCAAAGGAGGCTGCAAGGGCCAGCTTTGAAACATAAGTGGAGGAGAAGTGGGTAGAGTTCAGTCATGCAGAGTCCTAAAGGATGTTGGAGTCTTGCTGTTGTGCAATGAAGTGAAAACCATTGGAATATTTTAAAGCAGGGGCAAGACAAAATTTGTTTATATTTCAGAAGAGCACTATGGCAGATAGAAGGGATAGTTTAAGTGTGAAAGCAACAAGAATGTTCTGGTTGCTTTCCATAGTAGTCTAGGGCAGATATTGGTGACAAGGTTAGATGACAAAAAATTAAAAAGAAAAGTAGTTGGATTTGGGGGGAATTTCAGTGTTGCTGGCAATACTTCATGATCTGAAAGTGTTTTTATTTTCTGGATGTCCCAAGTGCAAGAGGATTTCATAGTGTTGATGGCGGTTCCAATCAGTAAGCATATTTATATCAGCTGTTTTTCTAAAGATGAAAGTTTTATTTTTCTTTTTGGTTGAAATTAGAGCTGCTAAAATAAACTTTTTATTAATAAAAGTTTTTTTTAATCTGATAGGTCTCTTAAAAATCTGCTGCTGAGTTTAATGTTTTTCTTGTTTGTTTATTTTGTATGTAGTATTTATTTGGTATTGTATGCTCTTTCTCATTTTTTCGAAATATGATGTTGACCTTTTCCCTTTGTAAATGAAGAAAAGCTTTTGGTTGAGAAGTTTGGTTGTGCAAGGATCACATAGTGAAGATGAAAATGTTTAAATTAGGTCTTCCCTTGAATTTAGGAAGTTACCTTGGTCTTTCAGTACATTTTAAAATCTCCTATTGTATTTGTGTCTTTATAGACAGAGGATTTGTTCTTCATTATTAGCTACAAGTTTTCTTTTTTCGCCATTTCTAATTATGTGCCAGAATATTGGGTGCTTTAATATGACATATCTCTTTGGCATTTAGTGGAGAAGCTTAGTAGCAGTTTTTTTCTATGTATTTTGTATACAAATTTTTCTTGAGGAAGATGAGAATTCGTATATGACCCCTGTGCTTCATTGTGATTTGTTCTATGGCTCTTTTTACCAAGGCATGAAACTCCAGCAGTGGCAATTCAGTATCAGATTACTATGAGGCTGATTATGGCATAATAATATAAATGTAAATAGTCTAAATATAGTATAATAAATTAATTATTATTTGGGAAAAGTAAATCTGCAAAGTGCATCCCCAAATGCGAAAGGGATTTCAATCAGTGTCTTTATACAGGATACCTAAAATAAAATTTTTTAAAAAAATTACATTATGCTGGTAAGTATTCTCTTTTTTTACTTATCTAAAATATGAGCTTTTTGACCCTAAAAATGCTATTCTGAAGACATTGGTTGGTGAGATTTTATGAAATTCTTTTGGACTTATTTACTTTTACACTATGTAAAAACTTAAAAACACATTGATTTTGTTTTTTCTTAGCCTTATTTTGACTTAAATGGGTGTATTTTAACACTCCATAGTGAAATAGTTTGTTTGAAAGTAATTAAAATTCAGTCATTGATGAAAGCAGAGTTGGAGGTCTGTGTGGCGGCCACTCAGCCTCTCTGGACTCCAGGGTCATCTCTGATCACTGTGGCTGAGAGGCCACACTTTCACACAACAAAACCTTGGAGTTTTTATTGTTCTGCCCTAAATGAGTTGATATCTTTTGATATTAGATTGTTCTGGAAATTTCTGCCTGTTAAATTAAGTCATAAACTTGAATATAGTAAAGTTAACTTTTCTTTCTGCATAGAATTTGAAAATAGTATAGTATTAAAATTACTTTGTAAGTGCAAGTTGGATACTTAGAACATCATGGAACTGGGCTGCCTATGGACGTTAGTTTTAATTCTGTTTTTAGAAATTGGAATATTAGTTTTCATTATAATACAGAGAAAGATTTGAGTATATATATGGGATGGAATGTAGTTGTATAAATGTAAAAATAATTCTTTTTCATGATATGATTGATTCAAAGCTTTTAATTAATTACAGGTTTCAGAATAGCCAATGTTTTCCCCCCTCCACTTGATTCCTACAGTAACATAAAAATGGATTGCAATAACCCTGATGAAGTTAGGAAATACAGTAGAGGAATAGAGTTACTAGGAGGGAGGGGCCAATTGGCACATACTAGGCCCGCTAAATATAGGAGGTCAGGCAAGGTGGTACAACTCACAGATGTCCCTCCAAATGATGCTCACAGATCTTTTCATATTCACAGTGGCTTCTCTTGTTCTTTTCATTAGTATGGGATTTTTGTGTTTATAAATTTGACAGAATTTATACTTATAAAGAGCTTTTGTAAATACTCTTAATCAAACGTTATCTTTTAACATCGTAAAATGCCATCATTTTTCTCCTACAGAATGATTTTAAGTGTAATCAGCCTGTAATTCAGAAGCAACAGTGTGTGCATATGGACAGCTCAGGACATGAGGAAAGAAACCCTGAATTTTGTAGGTAGAGGCTCTTGTATAGAACTTCCTGTCTCTGTTTCTAGATTCGTTTTCAACCTTCTTTTAAATAGACTAATAAGCTGTAGTAGTGGTACCACTCTAGATCTTTTATATGTAAGTAAATTAATATAACAAATTCAGCAAGTCCCAGGTATAAGTAGTGCTACTTTGTTCTGTAATGGTTTAATTTGCCTAGGGTATTGTCATTTATCTTTGTGGTGTAGCCATACATAACACTTAAGATAGTAACTCTTTGATTGAAATGGAGAAGGAAACCTTTTGCCATCAGTAATTATGATACTAAAATATTTGGTGTGACTTTTAAAAGCTAGATTTAACATTTTCCCAGAGTTAATTTAGAAAATTACAGTGTCTTCATGGGTACCTGGGATTTTTCACATTACTATGAAAACATTTTTAGTGGGTCACTCTTCCAAAATGTCTGGGTTTTGTGTATTGAAATAAATAAATAAATAAATAAATATATATATATATTTATATATATATTTATATATATAAATAATAAATATATATAAATAATTTATTTATATATTTATATTATTTATATATTTATATTATTTATATATAAATATATATATATACACACCCCCAGGTTTAAAACAATACCAAAACCAATTCCAAGTAAAGAAAATTCTTTGCAGCTATTTTCTCACCATCATTTGATGATGACATTTCCTAGTCTAAATATGCTCTGACTGTGCTGGTTAGAAATGTTTATTATGGCTAAGTTACCTTTTTATTTGTTTGAATACTGTGTACCCTACACTTAATTCCAGTCATTTTGGAAGTGCCAGCATAACATTAATTTTAGATTGTTGGAAGATATGGAAAATAGACATAGAAATGACTGATAGATGCTGGGGTCTGTATAAGCATAAAACCAAGT